AAGAAGAAGAAGAAGAAGAAGAAGAAGAAGAAGAAGAAGAAGAAGAAGAAGAAGAAGAAGAAGAAGAAGAAGAAGAAGAAGAAGAAGAAGAAAAAGAAGAAGAAGAAGAAGAAGAAGAAGAAGAAAAAGAAGAAGAAGAAGAAGAAGAAGAAGGGGAAGGGGAAGAGGAAGAAGAAGAAGAAAGGGAGGGAGGGAGGAAGGGACGAAGGAAGGAAGGAAGGGAGGGAATATGACACATGATTGCTTTTTCAGCATGATGAGGTTGAAAAATCATAAGTCAACTATTCTAAGTCAGGCACCATCTGTACTATACCTCTAGATTCCCAAGGATTGGTGATAATAATGTAACCTGAGAACATTCCTTTCTAATGGCTTCTGTTCTTAATGAACCATGTGGTTACGGCAGTAACCAACTATAAGAGAGAGAAAAGAGTGCTGGCAATTAGTGGGGAAAGGAGAATACACAAAATAATTACTTTGGAAAATGAGCGAACAAATGCATAAGGAAATAAAGGATTACAGTTTCATGAGCACTACTGAAAATGTATAGTAAGAAATTTAAAGTGAGACCAGTCTGCCTGTGTATTAGTTAGTACTCTATCATTATAACAAACTACATGAGGCAACCAACTTATAAAGAGAAAAGGGTTCTTTTGGATCATGGTTCTGGAGACCCAAGATCAGGTGGCCTCTGTCTCTGGGCTTCTGGCAAGGGCAACAAGTCAACGTGGGGACTGCAGGCCAGAGCAAAAGTGCTGACCACGTGAGCCAGGAAGCAGGAAGAGGGAGAGATGGGGTCCTGCAGTCCTCTGCAAGGGCACATTCACAATGAAGCAAGGACCAGCCACAAGGTTCCCTCAACCCCACAACCTCCCGGTAGTGCCAACCCAGGGAACAAGATTTGAGTGCCTGAGCCTTCTGGACACTCATTTAAACTACAGCAACACGTTTGGACACTTTCCTCCAAAACCACTTAGCAGCGTAGGTGAGAAGGGAAACTCAGGGTAGCACACATTAGACATCGGCCAAAGGAATATCGCAGATAGCAAGGGTGCCAGGGAGCCCAAGAGCCTTGTGAGCTGACGTGGAATCTACATTTCCTTTGGGGTCTGTGCCACTCCCCTTCCCCTAGGAACCCCAAGGAGAATCACACCAAAACACAGCACTCCAACCTAGATTTCCCAAAGTCTGGGCTGTATAATCTTAAATAACATTGAAGGCTATCACCAATCCAGCCTAGGTTAGCCTCCATCTGCAACCATCTGCAGGAATGTCTGGAACCAGAGGAGCCCCCCAGGAGTCTGGTGTGTGCCCCCCTCAACAGTCAGTGTCACCGCGCCTCATCTGCAGGGTGGCACCTCAGGGCCTGCAGCAGGAAAAGGCGGGAAACCTCTGCTCAGAAACGCCTGCATCCAAATTAAGTTACTTCCCATCTTTCCAAAAGAAGGCCAAATAATAGAGATGAAAACTAACTCTATGTTTGGATGATAAGCCTCAGATGGTTTTCACCAGGACAGAAATACTTTGCCCCAAGAGAAGCAATTGATTTTCCTACACAGTGTGAGGAAGACAGGGTGGTTTTTTTTCAGTTTCCTAGTCATCTAAATGACACACTTGTGTATACTATGCATATGTATATATACATGCAAAATGTGTGTTTTAGGTACACATATTTATACCTGCGTGTAATATATGTGCCTGCACATGCGCACACACATTTTCAGCTCTGACACGCCCCCCACAAGAAAAAAAACAAATGGTAAGCGTTACAATTCCATTTTCCAGAAAGTTCTGTGGAAAATAAACAGTGTGGGGAGCTCTCACCCTAGTGAGGATGGGACCATCTGCCCACAGTGTCGATAAAACTGGGGATTTGAATGCCTTTCCTTTGTCCCCGAAGTAAAGCAGGAGAGCCTGAGGAGCACGGTTTAAGTCACAGAGTAAGTCTCAGCAGCCCTTAGGTGCAGGTCGATGCTTGCACATTTTCCAACCTTTGAAATGAGGCTTCCTTTCTGTGGATCTTTATTAACCGGAAACGCCCCTATTTCCAAAGTGGGTGTCGGGGTGCTTCCTCCGGCCTGGGGTCGGAGCTGAGGAAGGAGGCACACAAGTCCCAGGGCTCCCGGCGGCGGCCCCCGAGCCCTCGC